TTATATAATATACTAAGAAGTACTATATAAACTTACAGAATATATCGTTCAGGTTTTCGCTGAACTTCGCCATTTTATTATAGTGCAGTTGCCTACACATCCCTTCACCCTAAACCCGAGGCGATTCTTTGATTTTATGCCCTTGATATTTTGCTGACGAACCAACGTCATTATTATTTGTGCATAATTATAATACTCTCAGTTCCAGATTTTATGTTCGAAGACTCTGTTGATAAGTAGGCCCTACATTATTAAAATAGCGATTTGTTCCTAAGTATTTTCACGTCATTTGTTTCATAAACAAATGTCAGTATTCATGTGTACTGAAGCAGAATTTTGATAAATAATTAACGTCGTTGGATCTGCGTGTTTTGTTTCTTCGTATTTTATCTGTCACTGTCTTGCTGTGGCAACGCGCTGGAGTCAAGGGGATTTGCTGAACGGATAACCTCTTGAATGATGATTTCTTTACTAAATTCACGGCCGCTTTCATCTGCCCATGTTACTTGTTTGATTTCTTCGGTTTCTTTCTCATTTTCTCCATTTGTTACTCGTCTCTTCACCGTATCTTCGACATGATGGCTGCCACTCTGATTCCTCGGCCTGTGCTTCTCGTCCAGGTGATGATGTCTCGAGTGCCGGATCTTAACAGCACGTGGTGGTGAGTCTTGCATCGAGGGCAGTAGTTCTTCCGGTGTGTCGAGACGAGATGCATGATGGCCGTTGTGGCGATGGTCCTTCCTGTGGCCTTCGTGGCTAATGTTATCAACTTCTTCAGTCTTATTGTTAACTTCAAGGGTTCCGGTCTTGTTTTCTTCAATTGTCATAGGATAAACTTGGGTTGTATGAATCGGGGTCCCGTGCATTAGTATGAGATCTGTGTGATTTTGCGTGTTTCTGTTTTTGCAAGCTGCCAACTGTTGTGTTAGTAGGTACTGTGCGTGTTGAAGGAAGGCTGCATTAGCGGCTTCTTGAGCCGACACTTCAATCGTACACATGTCGATCACGGGAAACAGAAACGAATAAACATATGTGGAACTACCAGTATTTCTTGAATCGTCTTCATCTCTGATGTCGGTTTCTCCTTTGTTGTTGCTGTTGGGGTTGGTGTAAGTGAATTCTGGCCCACTGGCGATGATATCGAAGCCTGCTCTTGCTGAGGCATAGTTGGCTTCCAGATAGGTCTGTGCTGCTTGCAAGAGTACTCCAGGGAGCGGTCGGGCTGTCGCTGTTGATGGAAACAAAATTACTAAATTAAATTAACCAAGACGTCCTCATTCTTAGTGCGGTCAAATTTTGGTTCAGAGACGATGCTCCAGCTAATGGCCGTGGTGACAGTCGGGCCACCGTACTTCTCAGGTGCGGTGGTAGATTAGAGTGAGGCATTGATGAAATATTGATTGGCAGGGGAAAAGTGGAATGCTAGGAGGAAGAAGCCTGTCCCAGTGCTACTTCATTCATCACAAATGCCAAGTGGGCTGCTATGATACTGAACCCGGGCTTCCACGGTCAGGTGTTAGGTCTAACACGATCATAGAATGGCTTATTACCATACAGCAGAGTTGATGCGTGTAGGGTCAACGCCATAAATAGCTACATTTTCAGTGTGGGACTCAAAATTTTACACGGTTCGGAATAAAGATAATAGCCGTGAACTGTTGTGTTGAGTGATAATTGTTGTACAGGTCACTTATGATCCGGCCAAGAACTTTTCGAGAGCCGCGTTCTGCTGACAGACCATCATTTTCTCATGATCGTCATAACCGAGAGAAACATTTATGAAACTGGTTACGATTATTAAAACGTTTAGGCACCCATAAATTCGCAAACATACTTTTTTGTTTGCTGTTTATTTAACGATGTTGTTAGGTGCTCAGACTGTAGCCTATAGGTTGATTCATGATTTGAAAAGGATGTGGCAAGAAGTGGTTGTGGCGTATTTGAATGTACTATCCCGGAATTTGCCTGGAGTGATTGAGGAAAACCACAGAAACCCTCGTCCGTGACGTCGGTGCGTTGCGTTATTTAATTGTTTTCCATAGCAATACATTGCGACAAATGTATTTGGTTTATGGAGTTTTATTTTAAGATTTATTTTGTCAGTCTGCGTCTGAACTACAGGGCATAACAGACAATCTGTAGTAATGCTGGTAGTATTACTGTTTGACTAGATTGGAGTTGTTTTATTATTTACTTATTAACAGATTTAATGCCAAACTGCGCATTGTGCTCTGAGTGGCAGACTTCCTTTTGTTAGTCTATTTGGTGAGTCAAATAATTTGATTAACATTGAAGCATGCTTCACTACGATATAAATTTTATGTAGTGGTAAGTGGAGCCGGAACATAACATGCACAATCCAAATTCGTTCTGCGGGTATGGTGTATTGTAATGTTTCTTACGTATACGTGATTTTCTTATGATGAGGCCTTAGTGTTTTGTATAGCCTACGGTTATGGGACAATGTTGTCCATTGTCTGGATAAAAAGTAGACGGACTTTCAGATACTGCCTCAGTCTTCGCCTTCAGGTACATAGATGGGACAGACTTACCTGTTGTCTGTGTCTAATTAGATGAAGCTAGTCCTTATCACTAAGGCACTAACAACCTGACTCCGAAACGTCACATAACTTTTTGTTCAGACACTGGACGACGTCGAACGAAAATACGCTCATGATGTTAATAGGCCACTGTCACAAATCTTCATATATTTATGTTTTATTTAACGTCAAAGTCAGCAGACAAATTTTAGCGTCTAATGATATAATGATTGGAAACGGTATGGAAAAAAATGGTGGCGGCATAATTTAAGATACTATCCCGGCGTTTGTCTGGAGGGCCCGAGGAGACATCACGAATACTTATTAACGATAGCCGATCTTCGGGCCGTGATTTGAGTCCCGGACCTCCCGAATATAAAACAGGACTGCTAATCACCCGGCCGTGACGTCCGGTTATAAATGTTTAGAACCACGTTTCCTTCCGTGTGGTATAAAGGAAGCTAAATACACCGTATTTTAAGTTTTAAGTTGATGCTGATACAATGTTACTTCCAACTGCACCATCGAAAGATGTGTGAAGACATTTCTGAAAGATTCGGCGGCATTTCATACCGAGACGTCGGAAATTGTTTCTTAAAGCACACTGTGGGTGGTACAAGCTAGATGGTTCTGCAGTACAATCCGTATCACTTATATGTCTTCCTTTTTCAGATCTTACACCATATCAAACATTGATTCCGAATCACATAATGGTTTTATTCAGTCTTGTAAAAACCGCCCTTTGTATTTATTAATAGTATAAATACACGCAAAAAGACAAGTTGACCACACATATGGCATCTAATTGTTTTCTGCCCCTTTAATGAATTCGGTCGTCATCTGCCTGAATTGTTACGTATTAGAAGAGGCGAAGTGAAGACACACAGGGTAATCTTGAAGGATTTGTCAATTTTACAACGTAGCAGATTAGACATGCAAACGTAAAACAACGCACCATTACCAAGTGACTACATTGAAGCCTCTACTATCATCATTGTGACGGGGTGAGACTATGTCTATGTGAAAATGGGTCTTGACCATTCCTAGTAATGTATGAGTGGATATGGAGCAGCGATAGAATGATATTGACATCGGAAATACAAAGAACTCGGAGAAAACCTGCCCCAGTGCCACTTTGTCTACCACAAATTCAGTAAGGCCTAACCTAGGCGCGAACCCGAGCTTCCGCGGTGAGAAGACTGAGCTATGGCACGGCTTGAATCGAAGCGATTGACAGCGCTGTACCTTGACCAGAATTCTCGACATTGTAGAATTAATAATGTAAAATGTTCTGCCTTTCAACATCCATTTTGGCTTAATGAGGCGCCACCACTTGGTAATGGAACTCGAATTCAATGCAAACAGCACATGCGCTGGAACAGTCGAGCGGAAAGTGCTTGTTAATGGTTAAAAACTCCGGGTTGCAAATGTCGTTCACTCACATGCCTCATTAGAGCAGTTCATGGCGGTGAAATAATCTGATGCCTTTAGCAGGTCTCCGTCCTCGTTTTCTACCTCGACCACAAGTCCGAAGTTCTTGCCCAGTAGACGCCATTGACGGGCGGCGTGCCTCACGTTGAACTCGATCCATCCTCCCTTACCATAAATCGGCAGCATTCTAGAGTCCAGCAGCTTTCGCTTCACTGTTAACACAAGGAACGTATTGTAAAAGGGAATGTAATGACCGTCCGAACGATTCGACTACAAAACAACTCGAGGTATTTCGATAAACTTTGGTATTAGGGGAGTCTACAAAGACGGATGATCTCGATCGACCCGCAAAAATCATAATTCACATCTCGAAAGTTTCAAGTTTCTTGGTGAACTAGAACTAGTAGGGTCAGTCCTCGCTTTATTATGAAATTTAAGTTCATACGAACTTTTATAATGAAGCGTGCACCCTCCTCCGAACGGGCTCATCCGAAATCCGCCGAATAAAATTGAACACATTTCAAATTCGAAAAACCAGGGAAGGACAGAGTCAGTTCGCCTTACCATCTGTTTTGGCGTGCAAGTTGTGAAAGATTTTGCTGTTCTGTAACAATTTTGTGGTTTACACCCCATCAATCATGGCTGATAAAAGGAAACATTTGTGCAAGTAGTTACGAGTAGTAATTTGTTTTGGTCATTCTTCAGTCGTTCCGGAACGTAAGCCCCAGTTATAACACAATGCTGAAGGGAAATATCGATTTGCTGTAAGAAATTTCGCTTTACGAATTCTTTCTAGGAATGTAACTGCTCGTACGAGCTAAGATTGCCTACTCATTTCATACAGTATAGGTATTACTAAGATTCCCAAGTTTATTTGAAAAACTTTTCAACATGTAAAATATTTAACAAAATAAAAGGTATATTAATTAATGTTTATATATTGTAGTATCTGTATTACCAACTAAAGGTGTTAAAACTCTGTGTAACGTTGTAGTATCTGTACCGCTTACTGTCTCTGACAACACTAGAATTCTGTCTGTAGCAAATATAGGCCCATGTTCCAAATTGTCATAAAATGTTTATGTATATATAAAAGGTTTATATTCTCCTTTACACTGTCATTTAAAATTACAAATTGTTGTATGTGAAACAACGATAAATGATTAATGTGATTTAAATTTCTCGATAAATTTAAGATTTGTGCAAACTGATTTTATCTTTAGTTTTGTAGCAATAAAAGAAAATTGACGTTAGGGATTATGTCCTCAAAATGGTAGTCTCATTGTTATGATATTACCATTTGAATAATGAAGCTTTACTTTTGCACAAACTGTTTCTCCACATACTTGACAAGACTACGTTTATTCCAGGGTCTTCAGCTATGCAGTTTTACCTAAAGCTGTTTTTTGTCTAAAACTAATAATTTGGACGACAGGAATTGATCTGTTATTTACGACAAAGAAATCAATCTCCAACATCGGAAGATTTCTGTAGGCTAATAACCCATCGTCTCGCCACGTGTAAACTGTTTTTCAGCCAGTCGTCTTATGATTGCTGTCAGCCTGCAAATTGTAGTCGGCATAATGTTTTGTAGGAATAATAACTGGTCATTATACAGAATCACTTGTAGGGGATTACATATAATCGCCAATTATTATTAATAATAATTGTCGGTCATTTTACCGTAATAAATATTCAGTCTAAAAAATAACTGTTATACAAGTAGCATTTTTTTTATGTTTTGACGTTGTTTAGACTGAGGTTTCTATAGTTTATTAAACTAGGAACCGAGCACACTTTTCTTTCCGTTGTGTACCAACGTGACAATATGGGAGATTCCTGACATTATTTGCATAATTTTTTGTGACAATATTCAATGCGCGTGATTGCAACAATTCTTTGGCTTCTGTGACATCTCTTAGATATTGATACTACTTAACGTTGTAAAATTAGTGTAAATTAACGCATTTAGACATGCTACTCAGAATTATATTTATAAGATTATTACATATTGTACAGTTTGAGGCAAATACTGTATAGGTCCTCGGAAAATTGTTACTCTTTTACCGGTCTGTGACCCACAAAAAAGGTCGAGGATCACTGATGAAAGCCATTATTTCCGGATAAAAATTGCTGTCAAAACAGTATGTGTTATGTGTTGATTTGTTACGGCCAGATGTATCTGTCATTTATGTGCATTTGGCCCATATTAATATCTCTTAACGAAGATAAAATGGTAAAACATTCCATTTTATTGCAGACGTAACTACAATTATCTAACCTGTGCTGTTGATACGTCTAAGCAGCAAAACGTAAGGGGCCAGATAATATAGACATTCCAAAATTTTTGCAAAATCTGACAGAGTAAAGAGACAAAACTCATTTTCAGCAGACTGTGGTCCAAAATCTGAGAGACTGCAAAGCTAACTACAGGTCTGCGGGTCCCCATGTTGTTCATCATGTACGCCTCTATAAAGATGAAAACTTTATTGCTATTACTATTATCACTGTCATCATCATTATCGTTGTATGTGTTATGACTGACCTTTATTTTTCTTTAGGGACCGTGTGTACCAGTACACGGACACGCGTATTTGTTTGTCGTCGTCTGCCATGACGGTTCCTGGTGTTTGTGGAAGCACAGGGACTTCCGCGACAACAGGATTGTCTTCTTGGTGTTCCTGTTCTTCCTCACTTTCATGTTCAGCACTGCAAGAGTGGTCCACTACTGTGTGGTTACCCTGAAAATGGTAAGTACTTTGTGCAGTTACTTGTACATATGTAATAGATATTAACAGTATGAATTTCGTATTTACTTCAATGCTGTAAATATTATTCAGCAGCTACTACTCTAGTGGACAAGTAGTTTCATCTCTTGGATGATAAAAAACAATATTTTACGAATTTCGTGATGAATAACTAAAGTGTACGCGTTAATACAAGCCGTATCAGTATTTTAATAGACTTCTTTTACAGTACACTAAGGATCGATTAAAACAGAGAATGGTGATTAGTTTGGCAGAGATTGTCACGTGGTGCCAGTCTTCGATACTCATACTAGTCCCTTTATCTCTCAGCGTTCGTAATTGTGTACATATGAAAACAGAGTGTTAGGTGGTTATTTCGTTTTAATGACGTTTATTTGCTGCGTTTTTAAAATATAAGCATATGATTTTTAAGGTGGCTAATTATTTCAAGTTAGAGACAGGAAATGTGGTTCTGCGCGTAGCTTTCGATGCTGGAAGAACTTGCTGCTGGTGGCAGTCAAAGTCAATTGGAAGCCGTCGTAATATCACAGCTTTACAGCTGTGTTTTTCTGAGCACTACATCTTTTAGTACCTTAACAAGCGCTTCAAGTATTGTCTGGAGACATTCCGCGAGCAGTTTTTATAAAGTCACGTTGCAGAAGGTTGCGGGTTCGGATCTTGGCTCAGAGACCGGCTGTCCTTACTGAAAAGTTTGTTTTCCGCAGTACCCTTAGGCAAATTCTGGGATGGTAAGCCTACAGTGTGTTAAAATAAGACGATGGCCACTCCCCGCATACCCCACCAAATAACCGTTGTGTATTATTTTGTCATTTCTAATGTACACTGTGTAAGAATCGCTGTTGACACATAGATGTTGTCCACTTAAAAGAAAATCAAACAAACAAAAGCATTTTGCCGCTGATTCTGCAGACAAATAAATAATCTTACCTGAGTAAACTTGTAAAGACGCAGAGTGGCCGCGATAATGGTGATGGTTACATTCTGCTGGGCTGGGTAGGTCAGGTTGAACAAGAGGTTCATTGAGTTCCCATCGACCCACATGTCAACGTCGGTGTTGTTTGGAAGATTGCCTGAAACGAAACATGCTCATTCCCTCAACAGCCGTCTATTGAAGGAATAAATATTTTTAACACGCTTTAATTTTGTATATATAGACAATGTTCAAGCGAATGTTTGAGAAGAAATTATGAAATCAGACTTGGTTTGAACTGACCCGGGTTAGGGTCTCATGTCAGGTATTAAGGTGTTCCTCACGCTCAAGCGTGAGCGGAGCGAAGAACGCTTATCGGTCCGCCTTTGCTGTCTGCCGCGTTTGGATGTGCAGCTTGCATGACAAGGGAGCATTGCTGCCCAACAACGGGTACATATTCTCGGGGAAAGAAATTTCTCATGAGATTTTCGACCGGTGTATGGGATCGGTGCCAACCCAGCATCGTGAGGAAATTGGGGAGCTACAATGGGTAGCGTAATCAGGTCAGGAAAGCTAGCAATGGCTGGGGGTTCGTCGTGCTGACCACACGTCATCCTGTATCTGGTTGGATGATCGTTCACCTCTGCTTAGGCATGTGAACGTGAGGCCAGCAGCCAGCTAGTCGGCTTTGGCTCTCAGAGGGCTGTTACGCCACGGATTATTATTATCATCCCTATTGTCAATGTTATTCCATGGCTTTGCCTTCGCCGGGTTGGACACCCCTTTGCCTCTACCATCTGAGGTTAAATTATCCAGACTTCAGGTGGACCGAGACTACCCACGAGGGGCTTCGCCATCCACGGGACTAGGCCACTTCGGGGGAATCGACTCCTAGGGGGTGCCCATTGGTAATGCCCCTATCACCTAGTCCCAACCGGGACAACAAATTGCAGTGTCTTTAACGCCACAACGCAACAGAAGAACGAGTACAAACAGCCGTGCTCTGTTCGGGATTTGATCCCGCGATTATACCTTGAGAGCGAGCTAAGAATTATATATTAAATGTACACATTCTACAAAGTTTATCTTCTTGTTTTGGCACAGAAAATGATTGATGGTGGGATACTGGCTTTTATTTACTTAGTTGAACTTACATGATGGATGAAAGCTTCGTCTCTTCATGGGATAGGCATCTATGGGCGATGGATGAGAGATGTTGAGGTTTACCAGTTTTACTAATTCATCAATTGGGACATTAGTAGGTCTAGGGTCGACTGGTACTGATCCTTGGCGATAATTCTGTATCATCTCCTTAATTGCATTTATACGCAGCACCTTGTTCCTGTAAGACAAACACATATATTCAAAGACCTGTTCAAATAGGGCATGCCCTTCACCTTGACAGTCTTTTTGTAGTCATATTAGCATTGTTACTATAGGGAAATTCGGCAAATGCGTAGGCTACATTTCTTATCAGTCTTCCTTGCCCAAAAGATTACCATGGGTCTGCTCATTCGATACATATCGTTGAACATCACAGGAAATAGTCAACATCATCATCATCCATAAACATGATATCTTTACCGATACTCGAATCTAAGGCAGTTTTCGGATGTGTCGCTCTTATTCCCCGAGACGGACAACTTTGTTCTTGGCACCGTTCTTCTATCGTGCTTAGTTTCCGAGGTACAGGAAACGCCCTCACGGGACTTGAACTCAGGGCAATTTTTCCGAGTTTGACCTTTCTAAAATCTCTTCCTGTTCTCAAAGAATATGCATGCTAAGTCTGGAGCTATAAGCGAACATGCACGCGCGCGCACACAAAATTCCAATTTTTTAAAGACCTTCATATCTCATGACCCCAGCAGTTGATACATCGTCATTAAAGAAGCTGTTATTCAGTAATTCAGTACTGCAGTTGACGTAATACCATACGAATGCAATGTAATACGTGCCAATGGCATCTACGCGCATCAGCAATTCTTGGAGCTTGAATAGGATCAAGAAGTAATAACACCAGCTTCTAAGAAGTTAATATGGAACGTACAGGTTCTTCGTCACGTCTAAGGCGAAAGACTGCAGCCCCAGGCTCATAGCTGCAGTATCAGCACTTTAATGTTTACGTTTGTGGTCTGTACATATAATTTGCCCCAGGGGTATCAGCCTAGAGACGCTCCGGTTTTGTTGAGGTAACTTTCGTTAAATTTATATTTTCTGCTTTCACAAGCCGTTCGATGTAAACATTGTATTTGGTTTCTACAGAGCGTACCATTTAAAACGTAACCAAACAACAAAATTGTACTATGGCACAAAATTAAATCAGAAGCAGGTCCACCCCTTGTGATTATAGATTGTCCCAGTCTCCCCCGCGACACACGAGTTTAGGTCACTCTGGTTTCTAGGCCGCTGCTCATGCCAGTTGCGCAAAAGCTGTGCAAATGCTATTAGTGTGTTTACGAGCAGATCGTGTTGTCGTTCTTGAACATTTCTTTGCTTCAAAATCGTGTGCTGCTATTAGTGAACCACGTAGCAATATTTACCGTGACAACGAAGAACCGAATAAAACTACAACACACCGACGCTCTGCAGAACTGATGCTTTTGCTCCTTTCGCTAGCCTGGGTGAGATTTTTCGTCGTTCCATTCATTCCCCCAAGAAACACCTTAAATTATTCCGCGACTGCTTCCCTTCATATCTTTCCCAATTAATTATTTATTAGTTATCTTAACAGTCTGTATTTAGATAGCTAATCTTCTGGGTTGTTGCGCCGTGTAGTCTGTTGGAAGTTTGTCGACGTTTAAGAGCTACTTGCTGTCTCCATCATCAGGGAGACCTGGGATTTGAGGTTCTCACGGCTGCGAGTATGAAGATGGCTTTCATACCAGCTTGAGAACCTCAAATTTAAATATTTTTAAATCTGAGCTGCTAGCAGTTTAAAAAAAACATAGATAAGTGAAATGCACTTTTCGTATATTTAAAGCTAAAATATCATAGTCTGCTACAGTAACAGCCTTGCAGCCCTATTGGCTACACATCTAACGTTTGAGTAATAAAGTCTAATCTGCTAAAACCTCATCCGTGAAGGGGGATGAACCAGTGGCGACTTTTCGTCTGATATCCTGTCTGTGTGTATGTCTGTCTCTGTTCTTGTCTCAATTCATTCATCTCTGGCTGCTGCTACTGCAGTCTGGTCGGCTCCATTCATTGATGGTGCCGGAGACACGTCACACACCGCATGTGTGTCTGTCCAGCCAGACAGTCTGGTCATTCAAACCCCAAGTAGTCCAAGGCCGACCACTACCACATGTAGAATCTTTGTGCAACAACAGTCCAATACTTTAACTATATTGTTTGTCTCTGTATTTATTTAACGACGCTTTTCGGCGTCGACACAAGGACAACTGTGAAAGAGAAGATGACTGTCTTCTGGGTTGTTGCACCGTGTAGTCTGGGCGTTCATCACCCTGACGATGGAGGCGACAATCACCTCCGAAATGTCGGTAAACATCCACTAGACTGCACGGTGCAACAACCTAGAAGGCAATCGGTAATCTTCGTTCCCGCCGTCGTGAGAACCAGAAATCTCACGAAGAAGAAAATGTTCATCGGCTGTTTTAAGGTTACATTCTATTATTTAGTCCGAGTGACTGAGGAAAACCGAAAACCAAAATGATACTGCATCAACCACTGCAGACATATCGAGTGAAAGATTTGGAAATAGTAGGCTGTGCCCGCCACTTGATGAAGGACCCGTGAAAAATTATCGGATTACCAAATGTAACTGGGCCTACTGATAGAAAGTTTTGTTTTCTTCGGTTTCTCCAGCCAGATGCTGAGAATGTACACTTTAACATGGGTTGTGATCTCTAGAAGGCATACGGAAGTGAGAAGCAGGATAACGTTTGGGGAACCTGAGAAGACGGGAGTAAAATATTAAAGTTGATCTTAAAGAGATTGACTGATTGGATGTGGACTGGATTCAGCTATTCAGGATATGGTCGGATTTTTCTGAACACGATAAAGGAACTTTTGGTTCCACTAAGACCATGGTAATTTCGTGGCCAGCTGAGAAACTATCGGTTTATAATCCAGGACTCTCCGTAGCAGTTTCTAAGGAGCTGTGTTTGAACTGGTGCATACGTTAATTGTTTGAATAAGTGAACTTCTACCTGACTACAGGGCGCTTCAACCCAGAAGACAGCCATCTTCGTACTCACCGCGATGAGAGCCTGAAATTACAACCTCAAAGTTTGTTGCCAGATTAATCCATTCTACAACCTCCAAATCCCCTATAATCTAATTTTAATATTATCCTCCCACCTACTACACCCAAGCCTTCCCCAAAGGTTTCTTCCCTTCAGGTTTTCTAACTAAAATTTTGTATTAATTTCTCATCTCCCCTATGCGTGGTACATGTGCCGCGCATCTCATCCTCCTTAATTTTTTTTATTCTAATAATATTTGGAGACGAATTCAATTTATGGAGTTCCTCGTTACGTAATTTTCTCCAGCCTGTAGTAATTTTATTCTTTTGTAACAGTAAGACCAGTTCTTGGAAGAGAGTTGAAGAATCACAGGCTTAGTAAGTCTAATTAGTGTCAGTTCAAGAAGAAGATGTAATAATAATTAAAGTAAACACTTCTACCTAAGTTGGACATATGCGAGGTTAACTTTTAGACTGTTATTAGGAAGATGGGTCGCAAGGGTAAAAGGTAGATGCAATAGACCGAGGTTCGTGTCCAGTGACGGCTTTGTTATTAGCGATGTTGAACCTTTTGGATTATAACGGCTACTACCAAGAGCTTCGTTGCTTTTTTGGCTGCCGTAGATAAGCTCCTCGCATTTTACGTTCTTTTTGCTAAACAAATGGAGAGGACTGTTTTTTCTTATAATTGGCTGTACGGTGTTGACGGCACTGATGAAGAGTACGAATTCCTTATATGAGTGTTTTAATTTGCTTGCTGATGTATCGTATAGCGAATGCCCAATAAAACATTAGGTAAATGGAAGACGACAACACATTACGATGAGCTGTTGTTTTGAATTAGAGTTGATAAGGATGGAAGGGGCTTTTGACATTTTACGCAATCTTTACGACAGTGATTGCTTATCCCGAGTATAAAAAAGCCAAAGGTTAAAATGTGTTTAACAAGTTTCTAACACACTTCACGGAGTAAAGTTCTTATTCAGAAGCTGATAATCGCTTAGCTACTCATGTTATGGCCTGCCTTTTGTAAAACCCTCTTCTACATGGGTCTGGACCCTGTTCTGAAGAGAGGTTTCTACACGCGCTTTCTTAAATGTATCTAAATACTTTCACAATAAAGATTTCCCATGTTGATGGTCTAATTTGTACAGCAGATAGCTCTAACTAATCTAAGGAAACAGTTTGCAGGGTGTGACTGCGTGAGGGCAGATCCTCAACATCTAATTATGTCTTGTGCGTCAGATGGTGCATTGTCCGAGGACATATTTATGTTGGTAATAACGTAGTTAAATGTGTGTAGTGGGAAGACCATGTGTCGTACTGACAAGTAGTGACGTCAGGAGCATTTTAAATTTGCGGGAACCAATACGTTAGGGCGACGGCATTGCCTGCTGCCAGCGAATAACAGACACTGCACGATACTTGGAAAAGATGAAGGAATACTAAATTGTGGTAACAAAAGAACTTTCTTGCAAAATTTGTAGCCAATTGAGCCCAAGTAAAGAAGACTTGCTTGGCAAAAATAAATCATTTTTATGTTATCATTTGATTTAAACAATTTTTAGCGACACATGATATGTGATAACTAAATAATCTGACTGACATTTTGTGCAGCAGCTGGCAACACTGGTGAGTTGGCGCGTGCTCGAGCGTGTGACTACATGATTCAGCACTTTTGTCTCAATTAGTTATGTTGAGGTTCGGTTTTTGTGGCTGCAATGTTTTATTAGCGCGGCGTCTTTTTTGTTTGTTTGCTTGCTAACTTGTTAGTCAAAAAATAAACGAAAATAAATTTGATCAAAACTTTAGCTAGAGTGTAAGAAGATCCCGAATTTTTTGTGCAATATCGTAGTGACTCGCTCTGAGACGTGGTCGTCCACTGCGACTAGGAACAAAACGCCGAAGTTTACAATGAAGTCCAGGGTCTCCGATACTGATAAGGCGCGATTATAAAATACGTTTTATTGACTGTCAAAGAAATGCCCATGACGAATGTGTTCCTTCAGAACGGCCGATCATGTAATTTCAATGTCTGGGACGTTTGCGTGAGCGCACTTGTCTAAAAATACAAAATATCAGGCAGGACAAGTGGGATTCATTATTTGTGCGGTCATATAATAGTTGAGACATGGGTC